TTTGGCACTAATCGCTAGCTGAGACGGCAGTCGATACAGACTTTTACTGTTAGTACTGAAAATCAGAATTTCTGATCTAAGCCAGCACTAGTTAATACTGAGCTTTAACACGATCGTGATGCCTGTAGCCGTGTACCTGGAAACTGTTTCTAAGGAAGGGAACAGGTCTCCCAGAACACAAAGGTAATTAGTAATGCTGTGTGCCCTTTGTTTTCCAAATTGTTTGCTTAGACTGAGGCAGTTTTTGACCATGGGAAAAATATTACCAGTGTTTCATGGAAGGGCCAGATTCAAAATGGACTTGCATGGACTTCATACTCTAAGTCCAAAACTGTGATCTTAAAAATCCTGATAGAGGGATCCCTTAAACCTGCTGCGGAAGGGGAGGGGAGGGCACATGTGCGTGTTCATGTGTGTGCGACTTTCCTGGAAGTCTTGGTGGCTGTAGTTCTCCCCTGTTGTACGCGTGCAGAATTGCTGTAACAAGACCAGTTTAGGTGCCTAGCTCCTGTCTAAGCCCCTTTTGGATACACGGACTAGGCAAAGCAGCCCACTGAGGGGTCCAGTCCATTATGTGTGTCCTGAATGTGTTTAATGCACACCTACAGCATTGAATTCCCTGCATACCGTGGTCATGCTTGCTTTCATTAGGAAAAAAAAATGCACCTGGACAAGAAGGTGATGGTGGCGATCACCTTTTTGTACAAGGTACTTGCCTTTTTATACGGTTAAATTGCTTACCTAGCACTACCTGACCTGGGACCTAGGCTGTAACTGTTCATGTTTCAGACCCACATCTCTCACCTGCTGTAACTACCAGGCTCGGCTGTGTGGGAGCACCCTCAACTCCTGTTGAAACTGGACCACAGCACTGCACTGAATCCAGGAGTCGTGGGTCCTGCCAGAGAGTGCGTGTCGGTAGCATAGGGCAGGCAATTATTTCGGGCGGAGGGCCGCTTACCCAGGTTTGGCAGGCTGTTGAGGGCCGCATGGGTAGCCCTGCCCCTTGACAGGTGACCCGCCCCTTGACAGGTGCCCTACCCCCTGGTCACCGTCTTGGAACCAGTGTCCCAGGGCCAGCACTGGCGGGGCGCAGGCTGGCAGGGGTCTGTGGAGCCGGGGTGGGCTGCACCAGCAGGGAGGTGGGGGGGAGCTGACCTGGCTCCATAGAGCCCCTGCTGGCTGGGACCCCACGCTACTGCTCTGGGCCCTGCCGGCGCCGGCACTGGCCCTGGGACACCGGTGCAGGCCCCGTGCTCCCGCTGGCTCCCCACATGCTCACTCCCAGTGCCCCTCAGCCTCGCGGTACAGGCGGGGGGCAGCACACAGCCCCGAGCCTCTGCTCACTGGCAGGGAAGAAGCTGGTGCTGAGTGTGGGGAAAAGTGGTCTCTTTGCTGCCAAGCTGGCAGTGGGGCCGGGTTACAAGCTGGTGCTGAGTGCAGGGAGTGGGGGAAAAGCAGCCCCTCGCAGCCCGCCTGGGGCTTTGTGCCTGCTCTGGACAGCCCCGCATGGGCTGCGAGCGCCTGCAACAGGGAGCGCTGGCCATGGGCAAGGGGCTGCTTTTCTCTGTGCAGGGAAGGAGCCCAGGGAAAAGCTGAGTGTGGGGGGGGAAAGTGGCCCCTCCCCCACCCCATGGCCGGCACTCCCTGCTGCAGCCGCTCGCAGCCCGCCTGGGGCTGTCTGGAGCAGACGCAGGCAGCCCCACATGGGCTGTGAGCAGCTGCCACAAAGCACATGGCACAAGGTGGGGGTGGAGCCGCTTCCCCCCCACCGCGCTCCTTCCCTGCCTGGGGTCACCCACTGCCCTTCTCTCCCCCCCCCCCACTTACCTGGGGTTCCCCCCTTGGGGCAGCCACCTTCTTTGGGGCAGCCACCTGCTCCCAGGCCAGAAGCTCCAGCTGGGGCTTCCGGCTGGTGGGGTGGGGCCAGGCGGCCTGCTGTTGTTGGAGCCCGCCGGGCTTCCTCTGGGTCCTACTGCCAGACAGTAGGAATGACAGGAACCAAGGGCAGGTTAATATTAATTTTCTACATTTTTAGGGGCCCCACGGGCCGGATAAAATGGCCTCGCAGGTCGGATCCGGCCCACAGGCCGTATTTTGCCCGCCCCTGCTCTAGGCTGTTAGCCACGCACCCACTCCAACCCGGCCCCCATTTATGTCTCCCCATGCCCTGAGGTTGGTAACTGTACTGTATTATAGCTATATCAGAAGCTGATATCTTGATGGTCTGATACAACAGACAAAAGCTGCCTTCTCAGGTCGCATCCGTTGAGCGTGGAACTTGCCGTTCATTTCTCTAGACGGAGTCCGTGATTTTTCCGTTTAGATTTTTCTTGTTTAGTTCAGGACTCCTCTAGCTGCCACAGTCTAGTTTTTAGTTCCTGTAGAAGTGCTCACGTAAGCGTTTTGCTTCCCATATGCAGCTTTTGCAAAAACCACGTGTATGTGTGCGTTACCATACTAACACTTCAAATATACATGCTTAGTTCCTGAATGAGTTTTATACTACTGTAAGATTGGTGTGCAGAGACTTATGTAGGCAGTAACCTCTGAGCAGATTGATATTTGTAGCTAGAATGCTAACAGTCGTGCTAAGTAACAATGCTCTTGGAGCGCAATGTGATTAGAGGCCAAGTTTAATCAGACCGATTTAAGTGCACATACAATTAAGTTATAGCTACACCTTTTTAATCTGGTTCTGATTGAACTGTGCCTATTGTAAATACTGTGATTGGGTGTAAAAATATGGGGCATTGAGAAATAACATATTGAAAAACATTGCTGGTAGGAGGCAGCTGGCAGCAGCAGAAGTACATGACCTGCAGAGAAAAGGCTGGCAATTGTCTTGAGATGCTGTGGGTTTTGGCATTGGGACTATAGATACAGGCAGACCTGTAATGATGTTATAAATCTTCCTGAGAGATTCAAACTGCACGCAGAGGAAGAGAATATCAACTAGAGAAATTGGAGCAGTTGCCTAAATTGAAGAAACAGTAGCATATAGTTTGGTCACAAATGCCACGAGGATAAAGCTGAAGGTCAGAGATCTAAAATGGCAGCAGAAAAGGGGGTTTGAAATTGAATGCAGGGGAAAACCAAGACTTGTAGAGAAGGCCTTTATTAAACCAGGCTTGAGATATAGGACCAAGTAAAATAGATAAGATGTGGCCTCTGACTGCTTGTATTGAAATGACATAGGTGAGCTGCTCTGGAATATAATGATTAAACATATTTATTTTTGTTAAAATAAGGGTTAGAAAATGTCCTAGTGGTGTACTGAGCATGAGAATTACGTTGTTGCTCTTGCATGAATATTAATAGAAGAATTCAAGTTCCATTTAAGCAAAAACCTTGCAAGGAAAACCAAAACCATCCTTGGCATTGTAAATAGAGGGTGTCAGAAGCTCCTGTAATGATGCTCAGTTTCTTGACAGACTGGGTCAAGCCTCCTTCTGAACTTTGGGGAGCAGCTGATTAATTTGTCATGTCTCTCGTATTTCTGGCATATACATTTTCAGCTGTCTTTTAATGCCCTGCACTGTAACTTTGCAGCATAGGATAACATTTTTCAATTAAAAAAACCTGCAGCTTTTATATTATGCACTGTTTTGATGAAGCCGTCCATTCAGGATTGCGCTTTTGTCAAAAGGCATAATGTCAAAAGGATTGTTTGCTACCATGATTCTCTTCCAAATAAATTTTGTTATAGGCATACTATTGTTCGTTTTTCTCCTAAACACTCTGTCTTTGGTTTTATTAAGTTGCCTCTTTCAATCAATTTGTTGTTTATTTCAAAGCTAAGCATTCCCAGAAAATGAAAATCAGTTGCATTCATGGAGCCATCGCTCTAAAATGCAGTGGAGTGAATGTGAACGTTAATAATGATAAATGAACTACAATAAAGGGTGGCCAAATCATAACATATATGCTTGACATAAAAATATCTGGTTAATTTTTGCTCTCTGTCCATTTACAATTTTGTCAGTGGAGAATTACAGATTTGATTTTGATTTGGGCACCAAACTTAGGTTGGTTGCCTATTTAGGTTGGGAAAAGAGGCAGTTTGTAGTTATTCCAGGTGGCAGTGATTCTCAACCAGGGTGCCGTGGCCGGGTGCAGCGCTTTTAGGTGTGCAAACATGAGTCATAAGATAAATCCAGAGATTTCAGATAGCAATTTGTAGTGCTAAAAGCATTCTGACCTGTTGGCATCTTTCTAAGTTCCTTGAAATGTAAGATTTGCTCCATTTTTCTGTAGTAAAAAAATTGATGCTGCAAAGGTCAACTACCACTGCCGGGACATATGTGCATAGTTAGCCTTGTGACCTGGGGTTTTTTAACCACTTTTTTCACACATGCACACGATCGAGAAAGGTCTGAACAGGTACACCTAACGGTAAATTATTTTCCTGAACCGGAAATCTGATTGTTAAGTTAATTTTATCTTTGAAGGATTAAAAACTTTTATTTTAGCTTTGTATGACTTACAATTTTGGGGAGAAGAAAAGCTATGTGGGCAATGAGGAGAAGAATTTAGCGAGGAGACTTTGGCTTAATACCTTAAACATCAATAAGTTCCCCTTGGTGCTGATATCGATCAGTTGGGGAACTCTAGCCTTGGGGCAGGTACCTTTGAGCACCTATACATGTGACGGACCTCTGCTCTGACGCATATTAATTGGCCTTTGTTAAATGCATTGGAGCAGACTCCGTTAGTAGAGCCTGCTGTGAGTCTGCTGGAGTGTGCTAAATTAACGTGTTCCAGCGGCCTCCGTGTCGCATGTATTTGGTGCCCCCGCCACCATTTTAAAGCATGGGACACTCAATACATGCGACACTGTGGGCACTTTAATTGGAGTGGCTCTGAGAGTCTTTCTTCATCCTGGAGCATGTGTATAGATGCCTTTTGGCACAGGGAAATTAGACTCAGATAAATGAGTTGCTGAAATTTGTAACTGGCATTCACATTTTTGCATTAACTTTGCTTAAATTTTTTTTCAGTTAGTAGACTTGAGGAGAGGGAGGCGGAACTGAAAAAGGAATACAATGCTCTCCATTCAAGACATACGGAGGTAGGTCTCAATGCGCTCCGCTTTGGCATGCAAATACGCGTACCAAAGTATAAACTTAAGTTACTTATTAATAGTTGATTTAAATGAAAGCTTCTGGGCATTCTTGCTTGCTACGTGTAAATTTGGACAGTTTATTGTTGCCCGGTGTAACCAGGCTCCATTTGACACGCCATTCTTCCATATCACCTACATTTTAGTGTACACACACTGCCTGGTTTTTTGTTGGGGTTTTTTTTTTGGTTCAGACCTTGCCATTCATGCAGCCACTTTTCAAACGCACCCTTTTCATAATGTGGAAATTACTAAATGTTCTCGTACCCCCAAAATAATTTGTCTCAGCAAACTTTTAACACTAAGCAAATACAGAAGGGACTTAGTCTTCTGTTTCCAACTGCTTTTTCCATTGTTCCAACTGCTTCCTTGGGGATCTACGTGCCCTAGGAAATCGGCCTGCTGCTGACAGTCGCAATCAGCAAGCGTTAACACTAATTATTATTGAGGACAGGATGACATTGTTTTCAATATTGTTTGTAGTTTCAATTACATATTTGGGAATTCACACTTTATGGCTGGCAGCAGTGGGCCATCTTCCTAGTGTAGGTGGAGATCCTAATTGGCCAGTTTTCATGTATGTATGTGGGGATATTTTGCTCAAAATTACTCAATTAGATTTAAACATTTTCACTTCCAGTGTTGAAGTTTTTTGCAGCTGTTCTTATTCAGTTTCCAAACTCTTCACTAATTTTTTGTTGCTCTTGGAAAACGAATATCGGATTTCCCCCCCCCCCCCTTGAAAAACAAAATTGGGTTTCCCCCCCCCCCCCCCCAAAGTTAGAGTTCGAGCCTGACACTTCTTTAATTAAGTACCTTCTCTCCTGAAAATAAGATTTGATTTGATAGCTAAGCGTGTGGGTTTGGAATATGAAGTGTTGCAATACTGGCAGTGAGTAATGCAACAAGTGTTAAGGATCCCTGGACAAGGATGGTGAGGGTAGTTGAAAGCAGAGCAAAACAAAGCTTCAACACTAGGCTTTTCAGAGGTTAATATTAAAACTTTCTGAAGATGTTACTGAAAATCTACTCATCTAATAATGCAGGTAGGGGGGGATTTTTAAAAATCCTTCATAAGGATCAAATGTTCAATTTGTAAAAGCAATTTAGGCTTCTAAGGTCCATTAATTAAAAAAAAAAAAAAAAAAAAAAAAGGTTCTAAACAGAACAAGAACTTTAACTTTCCAGTTGTAAGTTTTGGAAGAAATCCTTGGAAATGAACTTAGTGTGAAAACTAGACACATTTTTGTCTTATTGCACTCCACAGCGATATTGTCACTTCACTGCTTAATTCCCATTTTTTAGCATTTCTCAGACTTGGATGCACAGGTTGAGCCCTCGAATTCTGATGGAATAGGGGGGAAGCAGTATTCTTATCTCCGCTGAGTGTTTAAAACTTCCCTTGCTGTTTCTTGTGGAAGAGCTACTCCATGATTAGTGAGTTTAAGTGCCTCTCCTGTCGAATTGTTCCAGATTTGTTTTTTGTCATGCCGCTGGCCAAACAGGCCATAGTATAAATTACTATTACACCACGTACCTTGTGGATTACACTTAACCTTTGGCAGTGCAGTGGATCTGCAACTTTTTTTTGCATCACATAGCCATTTTTAGGCTTGTTAAACTTCCCTATGTTTATGGCTAATTAGAAAGAAGTAACGCTTGTCACTACATCTGCATTGTAACCTCTCCAACAGCCTAAAAGTTCTTCATTTTTTTTTCTTTTTCTTCCTTTTCCTCCACGTATATTTCCCCTTTCCCTTCTTCTGCTTTCCCATTTCTTCCTCTCGTGCCCTCTAGAAGTTCGCTGCGTGCCCCAGTTTGAGAAACACTGGTCTAGTGTGACTAGAACAGGGAGTTGGAGACCTGAGTTCTGTCACTGTCGTAGCTACTGATCTAGGTAACCTTGAATGAATCGTTTGATTTCTGTGCTTGATTTGCAGGCTGAAAAGCATCTTTTATTTACGCTTAAAAAAAAAAAAAAAAAAAAAGGAATTTGGCCACTTCATATGAAGACTTAAAGCTAGTATCATCTACATTCAAATAGTCAAAAGGATGTTTGCTGTTAATTTTAAAGGAAGGCTAGTCACTGAGCTACTGGGAACTTGGAGCCAGGACCTGTAGAAGCTCTTTATCAACTATTGACAGTTATAGCCTCTTCGTACCAGTGTAAGCACTGTCTTCTTCCATTCAGTTAATTCATCTATCTGTTTTAATGAATAATTTTCAGAAGCTGAAAAGGCAGGAAAGCTTGTCTTCCTTTTTCCAATCAAGGGATAAGAATTCTAAAATCTTAAAAGACCTCATAACCAGAAACAGTTCAGTCCCCTTATTACATCTGTTTTTTTTGCTTAATTGCTTTCTTTTTAAATGCATGTCTTGTTTTTCTTTTACATTTTTTCCAATACATCTGAGGTAGGATTTTAAATCTGCGTTTAAACTAATAACTCAATAAAACTGTTTTGTGTGTGTTAATTGAATTCCACTTTTCATTTTAATGCAGCTTGACACACAATGAGTAAAAATAACTTAGTAAATATTGAAATAGCGAGTGATGATCTAAATTAATGTCAAGCTATACAGTTGCTTAAATGCTTATCCTGGTTAGCTGAAACTACCACGTTGTGTCAGAGCTATGCTTAGAGGCTAAATAACATTTTAATGGGAATCAACCTTCAAGAAAATAACTAAAGTACAAATGCGGAGCAAGCTTTAAATTGATTATTTCAAATCATTTCACCCTGGGGATATTATTCTTGTAACATGGGGATAGTAATTTGAAGTCCCCTGAATAATACTCTGTGTTTGACTGTCAAATTTTAGGTTAATTTGACCTTATCTTTGTACTGTGACTCTTTCTCTGGAAGAGGAAGTTGGGAGATATAAAACATAACAATACTATAAGCACTTCCTAAGAATATTTCACTCCACTGTGAGTTTTGATGCATCCTAGGGAAAGCGTTTTCTATGTCCTTCATACTTGGTATTGTAAATAGTTGTTTTGTTTTAATTCCCTATACTCGGATATTTCCTTGGACTGCTTCGTTGTCCAGTACCCTCATGCATTGGATTGAGTCAATAGTACAGAACCTCATGCTGAAAGTCTATTGCTGTCTCTTTTTACACCTTTTTTAAAGTACTGAATTTCATCTTCCAAGTTTCACAGTTAAGATGAAGTATTTTCCTTTGAGGCTGACTTTAAAAGAATCTACTGCTTCCAAGACTCTTGCAAGTAATTATCCAGCTAATTAGAGCGAGTTTCATGCAATTTATATAACCACCATACCAAACTGCCCCCAACCCATGTTAAAAAAACATTACTGAGGTTAGAGAATCAAGCATTAAATTAGGGAATGGCAGAAAGGAGGTTTCCTGTGCAACCTTAATTCAGTTGCCCTGTGCATACGCAACCTCATGACTTCAGACTTTTTAACCTCAGGGCTCCTGCCTCACTCGGTGCACAAAGTGAACTGTGCTCACTTTAATGAGCAGCTATTGGTCTCCTTCTCCTTGCCTAGGCTGTCTTAGTTCTTGCCCTTGTTCTTTAATTTTTTTTTTCCTTATCTCACTTGTTTCTGGTCTTGTTTAACCAGTCTGCCCCTTGCTGATCTCACTGTCCCATCTTCCATTTCTTAACTGGCTTCCAGTCTTCCTGCCCTCTCCTGTCCTCTTCCTTGCTACCCTGGCTTTCTCTTCCAGTCATCTTTCTCAGCCGCTCCTCCTCCCTCCCGCCCTTGCAATCAGTTTCTCTTCATCCTCTATCAGTTTAGACTACGGTCTTTCTCTCCCAGTCTACTCCTACTCCCCAACCTGGTCCAGCTCTTAAAACCTCAGGCTTTGTTAGGCCAATCCATTCTCCATGATGTCTGGCTCCTGGAATCTAGGGGAGCGTTCATCAAGTCCTTGACAGTTTAGCAGCAAAGTCACGTTCCCTGCTTTCGTCTTTTGTGCCTTGCCACACTCGACAGGCATGTTCTGGTGTTCGGGTGGGAGGAGAGGAGGGCAAGCAGTGAGGAGGAGGATCCACGTGCAGTTCTCTCGGAGCCTATACGAGAGGCTCCAGCATGTTCAGTGAGTAGTATGGGGTTTTCCAGACAGTTGACCAATATCTACTGAACATGGGCATGTTACCAGAGGAAGTACAAATGGTAGCTGCCTAGTATAAAACACCCATTTTACCAAACTTCAAGCTCCAGATCTTGTGAGTAGTAGAATACTTCAAAGAAAAGGCCCAAGATTATTTTTTTTATTTTGCAAAATAACACGTCTACTATCCTGGAAAGACCTGACCTGTTTTGATTGAAGCAGACACCAGGAAAAAGTTCACCCCAAATGGTCATTTTGGCAATGCTATGAGTACATGAAAATGGTCTATTATGGGGCAAGCTTAATAGCCCCTCACCTGTGACATAAATGCAATGTACAGGCAACCCCTGCTTTCATTATAATGCTCACGGTCACCATCTTGGGTCGTCAGATACTTTCGGTTTCACTTAACGCTTGTTTTTTCAGGAACCAATTAAGAGCGCTAAGTAGGGGTTGCCTGTATTTAAAAAAGATTTTGATGCTTTTAATTCCTTTCTTCCATCCTTTGTTGCCGGTCTAAATTTGGACCAGGGACTTTGTGTTTGTAAAATACTTAGCACAGTAAGCCAGGCTTCTGATTAAAGGCTGTGCATGTGCCACCATCATAGAACTACATATTTTCTCCCATATAAAAAACAGTCCGTGGGAATTAGGGCATATATTATATGCAAGAAATAGAGCCGGCCTGTGGAGCCAAATCATTTGGCCTGTGGGGCTCCCCCTGGGACCATAAATTTGGCAGCGGGGGAGCAGTGGCAGCATTTGTTGTTGCAGCTTGCAGAGCCATGCCAATTAACGCTACCATCACTCCTCACCTGCCACCAAATTTCTGGACTGTATGACATGGCTCCGTGCCCTGGACCTGGCTCATGGCCCCAGGAGTGGGCTTAACTCCTTAGCTGCTGTTATACAGTTACTTATCAGTAAAGATCTATTTTTTTTCCTTCATGCTGCCTTTCAAAAACAAAATGTAAAAATATTCTGGAGCGTGTTATATGTGAGGAGATATGGTAATTAATACAAAGATACAAGACTTGCTATTTGACTTGGTTTATAAGACTGATCAATGTACTAAGTCTGTTTTAACTCTTACTGGTGCAAATACTAATGGCATGTTTGGATTTTTTTTATATAGATTTTGCTTCAAAATGGACATCAACCTCTGCTGGTTTGATTCAAATTTATTGAACATTTTTATAGTTTAAAATGCATTCTCTTGGGTTGGGACTGGTGTTTCTTTGGGTGTTATCACTGAGGTGACCCTTCTACCACAGGAGAACAGCTTCATTATAGCTCATCTTTGCTCCCACCTCCTTCCCTTAATCATGACATCTTTTTTTTTTACATCAGATTCACTGTCTAGTTGCTTTTCACCTTTGTCATCTGTCCTCCACGTTGACCTCCTTCCTTTTCCATTGTACCCCTCTCTTTAATATTTCCTTTCAGTTTAGCCCCAAAATGTGCTTTAAAAACCTTTGATAACATTTGCCAAACTTCCCATTATGCAGCTTCCCATTATTTTTTATGTAAAAATGATGTACCTTTCCCTGCACTCCTTGTCTCTGTCTACATAAACTGCAAGTGTAGACTTATTGGCCATGTGTAGACAAAACTAGAGGCATGTGTGTGCACAACACTTTAAATGCTTTTGCACTACTTTAATGGTGTCACTGTTTGCACGCCTTGGTGGCATATTGCACATTAATTCCAGCCACTGTAGGAAATTCGGCGGTGTAATGTGCCTTAAATGACTTGGGGCGCAGCAAACTAAAACTCCTTTGAGGACTTTGTTTGCTGCCCCTACAGCTGCGGAGCGAAGCACTGGGCTCTGTGCAGCTCCACGGCTCTGCAGGAAGCCCTGCGGGCAGCCTGGCAGCAGCCCAGGAAAGCAGCTCCACCCAAGAAAAGCGGCGACCCTGATCTTTTTTTTTTTTTTTCCCCACCCCTGCTCCTGGAGCCTGCCTGCCTGAGCTGTGTGGGGGCCTGGTGCTTTCCTCTGTGGCTGCAGTGCCCCCACCCTGCGACCGCCCAAGCTGGGTGCCTGCAGGCAGGTGCTGCCTGGGGGTGCCCCAGCTGCCATGGAGGGAAGCGCCAGCTCCCCCCCTGCAGGCCAGGGACTGCTCTGTCTGCCAGCAGCTCGCCCTTCTCTCCCCGCCACTAAAGAGGCAGGTAAGTCAACAGGGTGTGTGCACAGCACGGGGGTTTAATAAGCCCTAAACTGAAGCAGTGGTTTTTTAAAACCCACCGCTTCAATTTTAGGGCCCCCGTTTCATCTACACACGCCCAGTATCTGTAAGTACATTGCTTACCACATGGCAGCCCTGGTACCTCTAGGCATATGGTAATATATGTATTAAAGAAAATAACTGAGCTTTGCTATGTGTTATGATCATCTCAGCCTGTTCTCAGCCACCAGGGAGTCCTGGAACATGAGAACTTCCTCTGTTGCCTTTTTCTTTTTTCATTTGAGATTCATGAGCTCTCTTCCTACGCTGACATCTTCATGTTAATGGTGGTGTCCTTTGCATGTGTTTTGGGGTGTGCTTGCTTGTTTAATTCAAGATGAATCACAAATGAGAGAAACTAGGTAGAGAGAGAGCAACACTGCCAGATTCCTTCTGTCTTGAATTTTTCCCCATGACCACAATTTCCAGGGTTCTAGACACAGCCTTCATGGTTTTGTTAAAAGCGTGTTTCTTTCGAAAACATGCCTCAGATTTAGCCATTTCAGTTGTAATTTCTTTTAAGAGTCTTCATGAAACCCAACTTCTGATCCGTCTGAGTGATTTCCATCACAGTATTTGCTTCTAGTAC